AAGCGAACAACCGTTTTATCAAATTTGAACGAAGAGGACCTAACTCCCCCCACCCCCAATGCTATTGAACTTACTTACCTAAAGACAAAGTGCAGCTCCATCAGAGGGCACTTCAGATGATTACCTATGTGCCTCCAAATAGGCACCACATGGCTCACAAAGCCCGCTCATCAGGCGAGGCCATGCCAGCAAATGGTTCAAGGTGGGACGGGGCAGGAAGTTGGCCCGAGAGGGGTTTCCTCCCTTTGAAGTGCCAGTAATCCAAAAGCCTGTGTGAGGTGTGTGTATGTGTGTGTGCGCATTTGTGCTGCTCTCATTGTGAAGACTAATTTGAATTTCTCCTTCTTTTGAATCTGTTATAGCCTTTAAAGTCCTTTTCAAGTGTATTTGGTTATTCATGTACTTAAGGAGCGTTCATTCTCATGAAAAGAAAGTATTGTGAGAAGGAAAACATTCAGACATCCTTACATTTAATACCTTCTTGACTTTTCGTGGTATCAAGTTTTGTTATGTACAAAACTTTCGATCAAAACGGTTTTATGTAATATAACAGACACTCCACTGATGCTCCCAGTTATTGTTATATGTACAATATACTTATTAATTTTAAGCTAGCATACAGTATTAGATGTCGTCATAGGTTGCAAGTCTGTGTTCTTCGTGGCTTTCCAATTGTAGTTATCATTCTCTGATCTGCCCCTGATCTCACTTTTGCTGCTAAAACAATCCTGATCTGTCGAGACCTGAACTCCACCTGGCTCTTGATGAATTTGTTATGAATTTATTGTTGTTTTTTTTACTTCAGAGATATCTTGGATATCTTTGCGCACAATAAAGTTGTGTGCAGAGAAGCCATACATGAGCTGCAAAGAATGTTGTTCATTCTGGTTTTATGTTGCCTGTGGCTAAATGTGTCTGATGGAGATTTTATGTCTTTCTTGATTAGTTTTGGCTTTTCTTTTTTTTTTTTTTACAAGATTATGTAAATGGCTCGTGTTATGAGTTCACTCACTGAGCAACATTTCTCTGCTGGGACAATATAAACTATGCATTATATCATTAAGGTGTTTTCTGGGACCAAGATGTTCACAGGAGATCCTTTAAATCCAGTATATCGTTAGATGGGGCTTCTATGGAGCAGACTTGTTTGTGGATCACTTCCTGACTGATCTACAAATTAGAAGCCTCATATGCAACAACTTGTGATCCACTTTTTATCCTGAGATATTTCTATCAGAACAAGCGTTACAGCAGCTTGCCTTTTGGATCAGATCTTGTTTAAATAAGCCTTGTTTAAATAAATCATGACCCTATATCTTGTTTATGACCGCTCTTTTCCTGGACCATTTTTTGGTGAATATCGACCACTGCAGACTGAGAACTCCCTACAGGTAGTTTGGATTTGTTCTAGCCCTTATGTCATCAATTCGGAGGAGAAAGATTATTGTCCTTGCTGCCAAATATATAAAATCTACTAATAGTATAAATTATTAGAAGATAAGCAGTGATTCACTTCGCTTATCCGAGGTCATAATGTTAGTCTTCATTTGCATTATGACAAAAACTCCTTATGTTGTTTTTGGGCCTTCGGTTTTGCTGTTCCAAGTCCGGATTATTAGTAACCTGCATTGGAAAAATGGATAGAAAGAACAACATTTTTAGCAATATTCTTGGTTCTAACTGATGATACTTTTGTATTATTCCATACATAAATGCAAACAGAAAGATTGCATTAAAATCTCAGGCTTTCAGATACTCAGATCCCTGCAGATCAATGGTGAGGAAGTCACTTATTTTCAGTGATATCCAACTGTTTCTACCAGACCCAGGATTAAACCCAGCAGTATTTTCTGAACATGCCACTTAATTTAAAAGGCAACACACCATACTGAATATAACCCTGTCATCTCTGTCATCTTCTTGTACGTGATGTTTCACGGGTTTTGCAAGATTATCACCTTGAGTTAACAGGGTCTTAAATAGCTGACTGGCACCAGAAATTGAGTGAGGAATTAGACACATGTTACGTCAACCCAACCATAGCCTCATTGTTGCAAATGTGGAGGAATGAAGGTTGGGCCTTACAGGGGGTAGAGATGGCATCAAACAAGCTAGTAGCTACGGTCCACTTCTCACAGCAGGAAACGTGGCTTCCTTGTGTCAGGGCTGGGAGGGCAGAGGTGAATAAATAAAGAGCAGATGTGGCAGAGGACGACCATGGCTCCAGCCTGGGGCGGCCCTCAATGCAGCGTGACGTCCTGCTCAGACGTCACTCTGGGATTACTATTGTGAGAAATAACATTTTTCTGCAGGTAGGGACTGGATTTCTTTTGTTCAGACGTTCGCTCTTTTAAGCCTTCGTTGAGTTTGTACTTTCAAGATTTACATTTTTAAATCATCTCCATCTAGCAATAGAACCTTATAGTTGTGCTGGAAGCATCCAGCTGCGTTCTACTGTAGAAAATATGGAGCCAGAGTTCAGGTTGCGCTTGATTTATGAACAATACGACTCATGTAGGCCGGAGCACTTGGAGTCTGTTTATGCTCTCTGTAACATATTTTCAGTGGCTCTCTTGCACCGTGCTTTCTCACCAGTTCCTCTGGGCTTTCAGAAGCGATGAGCAACCGAATGAGAAACAGGTGTGCCTGCTCCTTTATCTCGCCCTCCCTCTCTTTTCTCTGGCCTAGCTGAGCCACAGAGTTTTGTTTTGACAAAGATGGCAGAGGTGGGAGTGTGAACACAGAGAGAAAAAAAGTGTAGGAAAGTGAAAGAGCAACAGAAGATAAGCCCACATTTATTCACAGTAACCCAACAAAAACAGCCATAAGGAGATGTGAAAGGTCAAGTGCCACAAAAACCATGACGTAATAAATGTATAGTAAAGCTGACAAATGGTGTGAAGAGGTTTTTTTCAAGCTCTGTGGACCTTTGATTATTTGTTTGAATCATGGATTTCAGTCAAGCCTGCTAAGTGCTGATGGTGATGCTTTGAAAGCTAAAAATCAATGAATGGAATGAGGGAAGTGGCCAGTTTAAGGTGTTTCACTCAATATTTAAAGTGCAACAATTAGCATGACTCTTCAGAGATCGGTTAATTAAACTGCAGCTTACAGAACAAGAGAAAAAACATCATGCAAGTTGAGCAATTGTGTTGGCCATTTGATGAGATTATGATGAAAATATATCCAACTTCCACAGACATCCTGGAGTGTGTCCAGTACACCTAAAAACAAAACAAAACTGAATGTACGCCTCTGATCTTTACAGCACCTGAAGATCAGGAATGTTTTAATTTATAGTTGCAGATTTCCAGATTTTTAAGGTTGTAAGGCTTGATAATTGCACAATTTTCTATGAATTCCAAAGCTGCCTAAAAGTAATACTGTTGGGTGATAATGTTACTTCTTTTAGTTTCTTTTATCGAATGGAGGTTGGTTTTCTCTAAAGCAACATCAGCTGATCAAAATGAGAACTAATGAGAACTGCACCATGCTGGAAGTTGCAGTTTAAAAAGCCACACCAACTATGTTCATTCTAGAACTGCTTTGACCTACATGAGAGTCCTGCAATCGACTTCCCAACACTCCCAACTTAATTTCCCCTGAAATCAGCCAAAGTCTGATTCATGTTTCCCCCCTTTAGCATCTATCACTTCACATACAAGTAGGAAAATATCCTCCCTTAATTTAGCCAACTCAGTATAAGCAGAGACCTTCTGACTTGTCTCTGTTTTTGATGATTTCCTGGAAAATGTAGACTATGCTGCTTCATCTGAGCTTTAGTCAAATATCTTATTCTCTGTAAACTAAGTTCATGAAACAAACCTCAAACTTGACAACCTAAGACATTCTATGAAATGCCTTAAAACTGATAATAATCCTTTTATTGATTGTGCATGCAGCAATGCTTTTGGAAAATAATCATTGTAGAAGTGAAGAGGGTCCAGTTTTCAATGTTGGTCTTGCTGCAAACTTTGCTTTATTGTTGTAGCTATCATAACAGAAGTTTCTCAAGCAATCTGTGTGGTTTTTAACATGCCTCAATTAAAAATAAGAAAACTGTGGCATGCATTTTCCTTCAGTTCCTCCTTGTCTGCTTTCTCTGGTATATCTTTCTGTGGTGCAGATGTAGAAACTATTCAGAGGCTGACATTTCTGCAGTTCTGGAAACATTTGGGTGTGGTTTCTTCACTGAAGGAACAGTTTGTTGAGTAGAGAAATTTTTGCAAAAAAAAAAAAGTTTTTCTTTTTTTTTTAATTCAAACTTTCATGTGGCTTATCTTTGCTGGAAGATTTACAATGACTGCTTACTGTTTTGTTCCCAGAAATCAACATTTGCTTCAAATGTCTGGATCCAACTGCGGGATCCTGACTGATTAGCAAAATGACTCAAGCTCTGTCAAGTTGGAAGTTGAGGCTCTGTGAACATCAGTTTTCAAATGTTTGACTGAGACATTGCTCCCTCAAGGGTGACTGACCTACAACAGATCGATGGAGCACATCTGTATTTTCTAAATAATTCAACAAAGGCATAAAAAATTTTCTGGAATTGGACAAATTTGTGCCTATATTATATTTTTTATTTATATATGCTGTGTAAGCATCTCTGCTGCCACCAACTGTTTTGGAGGGGAACTGCTTGTTCTGGCCCAACCCTTGTCTCCGCCCCATGCATCACAGTAGCGATGTTGTGATCAGAATGATGTAGCTTTAATTCTACGGATATATAGAGGTGAACTTATGCTTTTTTCCAACGATGACTTTCTTCTTGCTGTTGTTCTTTTGAAAGATTCGTTCGCCTTGATTAAAACATGCAGTTTGGAATTCTGGCATTCAGAAATGTAAGAATATCATGGTGAAAAATATGTCTCTGAGAAATGAACACCCACAGTTTTAGTCTCTATCAGGTTAAATAAACCCAATTATTGGTGTTAATGTTTTACGGCAACTTCCTCCTACCTGCCCGCCCTCCCTCCCTCCTCAGAGCGGGGAGGTCGGAGTCGGGACTCCCTCTCCGCTGCTCAGTGGTGCTACAGATGCAGCAGCGGAGCGGAGCGCCACGCTCAACGTCTGACATTACACACGGATCTCTACACGTTTACTGGATTTGGGAATCAAACAAAGTGGATGACCTGGGTATATAAGGTGAGTGCAGGCGGGTCCGTCTTGTTAAACTTGACGCGGGTAGGTTTGAATCGGGGCTCATTTGGGAGATATTTTAATTGGGAAGTTCGGGAAAGCGATCACATGGTGGGATGAATTGATCCGTGATCGGGAAATCTGGGTCATTAATTTTCTCTTTTTTTTTTTTTTTTTACTCTTTGCTTGTTCTGGTTTGTGATTTGTACACTGTATTTTCGTCAGAAATATAATTAATGATATGAACTCTATATGCTGATAACACAACGACCTCCCTGCTGGAGGTCATTTAAGTGTTAATAAATTATATATATTTTTATTTTACTTGTTTTTCCTTCTTTAAAGAATGTTTGTCTTTGCATGGGTTGTCTGACATCTTTATGGCTTGTGCCTGTGAAGCAACGAACAAGCCATAAAGTCATACAGTTCGTGCCCTGTAAAGTCATTTCTCCCGGTCAGGATGACTGTGATTGGTTTCTGGCTGTGCATGTTGTCCATAAACACAAGAGCAGGACTTCGACTTGAGCCAAACAGATTTTTTTTTTCCTGAAAAATTGACAAGTGCATCAATGTATCTTGTGCGGTGTAAACCAATCCACAGACCTTGACGCCCAGTTTAGCTGGCTGGTATGAAGAGAATGGGGTAGCTGACTGACCCCTGCGCTCTCATTAGGGCAAATACAGGTGACATGAGGCAGTAGGTTCACAGCTTTGTAGGTTTGACCTGAAATATATCCATCTGTTTTCCAAACCTCCACTGTGGGTATCTGCTGACTTTACTACTTTTTTTTTTTAGTTCTTTACTTGCGTTCATGCAGATAAAGAACTAAATAATGCATGTTGTTTCCCAAACAGAAGACTAGAAGCTGAAGTTTAAAACAACAGAAGGAAAAAAATAGGTATGGCTGTTATGCAATCTACACACTTCAAAGTGAACAGATTCTCCTCCAAGGACAGAACCATGTGGCCTCCGGGGTCCAGTGTGTGACCCATCTCAACCCATCGTATGCAGACTTTATTTTGAATGAGTGTCAAGAGTTGGTTTGAGTGGGATCAGGAGCATAAACAACTTAGAGGCCAGACTAAACAAACCACACGTGTCTCTAAATAAATTTATCCTGACTTTAATAGGTGAGCATGTGTCGTTTTGATCGACTATGTAATTCTGTTTTATGCAGATCATCTGCTGGGAGTGCTTTATTCTCACTTTCTTGAGGGAGAGATGATCTTTTAGTTGTGCTGAGAGACACTTCTGTAGTAAAAAATAAAGACTGACGCAGCAATAATCTCTCCACAAGGTTCTCACAGCAGCTGCTCAAGAGCTTTTGAACACATCAAGGGATTTTTGTCAGCAGATGAGTCAACCTACTTTTTTTTGACAACTTTAAAGACTTAAGTGACAGCTTTAAATGTAAATTCTGTGTTATTTTCTTTTCAGGTTCATCAATTTTCAGGCTCTTGTTAGGGTGATTTGTCTGGAGACAGATTTATTTTGATCTCTTTGCTCTTAACTTTAACTCTGTAAATTTGACTGCCATTACAGTGCCTTGCAGAAATATGCATACCATTTTTCTCGACAAATTTTCCGGTCGAGTGCATTTTTATTTGGTCTGATTTCAGGGGGGTGAATACAAGTGGATGCCACACGGTTCAGCCTTTTTTCTCCAACCTCTTTTAACAATTTTTCACTAGTTTGTGTGCATCTCATCAAATGCCAAGGTTTGAGGTTGAGAATTTGAAAAAAGTTGAACAAATATTAATGCAAGGAAATGAAAAATTATATGTGAAAAACAAATAATAAGCAGTGGGACATAAATCCCTCATGTTACTTGTTTCGAAGCAGTGATATGTCTGATTCCTGCAGAGCAACAACACATCGTCTATCTCCCTGGGGGAGAGGCCAAATGCAGAGAGCCATTCGCTGCAGTTTTCATCTGAGTCGTCGATGGGAGTCCTAACATCATTATCATGGCTAAATAAAATGCTATTTATGCCTTTTTGCTTGATTTACAGCACCAGAGGGAGCGTTGATGATGATGTTAGGGATGCAAGACAGTACTAAGAAAAACCTGCAGAAACATGTTGATTTTATGACCCTTTACACCATGCATTTGCTTGCTTTGCTTACCCGGTATTTTGTACCTTAATAATCAGATAAAAAGCTAATAAATAAACTTGTCAAAGACCACACGATCTACTGCTTGCAAAGGAATGCCCCAATTTAAATCCTTTTTATTCAATTTTACCATTTTTTTGTTTTGTTTTGTTTTGTTTGTGCTGTTGAGTACATTTTTAATCTGATTTGTTTGAACCACATCAATGCCTGCTGCAAAGAGCAAGCAGAAACTGCAGAACATTGTCTGGTTTTAGTTTTCACTTGGTCACTCGTGCTTTTTATCAGTTAAATGTCAGTCAGCTCCACCACGGCAGCTATTAAGATTTTGTATGTGCCTTCCGTTTGAACACTGCTCTTTAACGGAAACATTAAACATTCGTTTTGTTAGCCCCTCGGTTACATGTAAAGATCTCCAAGTTATGGCGGGAAGCTCGAGTTTCTAATTAAAGGGGGAAAATGTACACTGCTAATGACATCATCTTCCCTCTGGGTATACAGAGTGTGTTTGTTTGTGTGTGTGTGTGTGTGTGTTTCAGATGAGCAGCTGGTTTGAGACACTTGACATTCAGTGCAGTGTAAAACTTCAAACACTTACAGAATAAAACAAACCCACCAGTCATATAATTTGAATTTACAGCTTCTTGTCGCCCATTGTGCTAAAAGTTTGTGGGAACGTTCTAACAACTGTAAGGAGGGGGGGACTATTGGAAAAAGAGCAAGAAATTATTAAAACTTGAGCTCCACAGTTACAGTCTGCATCCAGGCATTTAGGCAGACACTATATGTTAAAGTAATAGCCACTGTCACGAAGGACAGCTGGTTGCACGCTCCAGCAAGACCTGCCATCTATTTCATAAACTGGCATTTCTTCTATTTTGTAAACATCGGGGTGTGGAATCTTCTTCACTCAAGTAACAATTTGAAGAGCAAAGTTTTTTTTTTTTCTTCTTCCCCCTCAAAAGTTATTAAAATACTTTTTGAATATAAACTTTCATGTGGCTTTGTCTTTGTTGGAAGATTTACCATTACTGCTTGCTAGTTTGCTTCCAGAAGCTAAAATTAGGGTTAAATGTTTGAACCTAACTATGAGAATCTGATTGATTTTATTGCACAGTTTCAGGAAAATATGCAGACTCGATAATATTCCTGAACATAGCCATGACGATGTGAAAAAACATGATTATTCCTCTGCCCTCCATGAGCTTTAACATCATCTGTTGGCTTTGAAGGAAGATACAGTCCACATAGTTGGCCAAACATTTCATCATGGATGCATTACACCTGAAATGTAGCATCCTGTCAAATAATGAGTCTATTTTGTGTTGATTGGGATATTGCACACAGTGACATTGTGATAATAGTTGCAATTTAATATAATGTTCACCTCTACTTGTCAAAATCTATCTCTTCTCCTTTATTCTTTGTGAAATAGCTCAAACTCAGCCAGGTTTGATGGAGAGCCTCTTGAGCAGTAATTTTCAATTCTTGTTGCTACTGAACTGGTTTGGACTTTGACTAGGCCATTCTAACGTGTATCAATGAGAGGCAGTATCCTGCAGCATTTAGTCGTTTTCAGTCTTTAACGGGTTCTTGTTTTTAGGTCCATCTAGCTTTTTTCCAACTCAAATGACTTTGCTTTCTCTTCTGATGGTAGCAGTATGGTGACATGTGAACGTTCAAGGTGATGTGCAAAAAAACTGGGATATATCTCGGCTGTCTTTCTTGACTCTTCCTCATAAAAACCAGATTCAGAGTTGCCGAGTGCCTGACTAATAGCCAACCTGAGCTGTGGCTCTCTGGAGCTCCTCCAAAATTACTATAGTTACTTGGCTGGTTCATTGTATTATCTTGTAAATATTTTAGACGTTAAGCCCAGCTGCTATTATTGCATTAGTTCCATTCCCTCATGGGCTTATGACTCAATCCATAATTCATTGTAGTCAAGAAAATCATGAAACATGATCTGACAGATCTCCATCTCCTGACAGCCTCCATGTGAGTGGCTGACAGCTGTGAGAGCAGCCCTTCTCGCCGCTGCTCTCACATCTTTGTAATTGTTCACAGCCTGACCGGCCACCTCTGTCGCTCTGCCACGTCCCATCAATCCCAGCCGTGGCATGCTGCGTCCATTCATCCGTGAGGAAGATGGCACCGAGCTGGACATCCTCTTCCACGGAGGATGAGCCCATGGATGCGACTTCACTGATTCATCCATGTGTTTTCGGATTCTGACAGAAGCAAAGGGAGGAGAAGGGGACGAATGGAGGGTTCTCTCTCGGCTGCACTTGGGTGCAGTTTGAGGCAAAGCAGGTCGGCTGATTGGTAATGAGAGAAGACAGCTGGCTGGTTCAGTGGGGGCTAACGGCTAAGCGTAAATGGCAGCGAGGAAGAGGAGGAGAGCTCGGTTTAGGGTCTTTCTGTTGGAGTTTCTGGATGTGTTTATTTGGTTGCTGTTGAAGATTTTTTTGAAGTGGTTAGGGTTGTCTTAGGAAGATAAAGTTTGGGACAATAAAAAGAAGCATAAGTGTAGATTTTTTTTTAATTTTATTTTGAAGAGTCTTACTTTGCATATTTTTTACTACCTGTATCTTCTTATTATCTTTGAATATTTATTGTTTTACTGCAATGCAAATATTCCAGAATAACTCTGAAACTTATAGAAGGCATTTCCCATATGTTTATGCATCATTTCCTGCATAAACAAGGCTGATTTTAACCTAAATGATGATCAATGTTGAGACTTTATCCAGTGTTGGTGTCTAAACCGATGTTTCTCAAACATCTGGCCCTCAAAATAACCTGAACATAGATATAAAGCCTTAACTTGGATGAACTATACAATCATTGCTGATAAACTCCTTAAAAACAGTGTACTGATGACACAAACATC